GTGACTGATTTAGCGAGACATTAAAGTTTTTCCAGCGATTTGAAATTCCTCTGAATTCTTCGAATGACTGAACTTGCTCAGAAAATCCTCTACTCATAAATGTTTAGAGATTGCTACTGCAGCATTTCAATTACTTTCATGTCCGGAATGGTCCTGGTATAGAACTACCTTGGTATAGAACTTAGTATCTGAATCTAGGCGACCAACTATCTAGCTTTTATGATGGGGCGCATAGTGAAGGGATCTTGAGAGTGTTACGAAGGATTCTGGTAGACGTAAGTTGTCCTCTCCGCTAGCATGTGAGAATGATAAACTCTAAACTTATGCCCTTATCATAACCAGTGCAATCATCACTGTTGCGTCTGAAGATATTATCCAGTCGGAGAAATTGAAAAAATAAACGACTTCACCATCTAGGTAGAAATCACTCAATTACTCAATCATCAATTCGATTACTCAATATAATTCAGATTCCGAACAATGTTCTTGCTAACCACTGGTGCGCTAATCGTGCTGATACAGCAGCAGCTGGTACGAATGCAAATCTCAGCCGCAGCTGCCGAATATCCATGGACTTTCGACAATGACCTGTTTGGAGGTAAGACGAAACTTACTTTCTAAAATTGATCTTCATAACTCCATTTTGATAGTTTTGCCTCAAAACTATCAAGTTTCGCCATATGAAGAGGCATCTTTATTGACTGTAACGAGCAATCGCTTAAAATGTTTCATTACTTTAGAACTATCACTTTTGTTCTTAAGAAAATCTCTTTTGTGTTACTGGAAATCTTATTGTTGGAATATATGGTATTCTTCCTGACGGATTCATTCAATTGCATTGGAAACAGAATGAAGTCTTTGGTAGTTGAAAATCTTTGCAGTTGAAAATCTTGAATTTGAAGTGACTTTCTCCGGGTAGAATGGTACATATAGGTGATTATATGAGTTATAAACGAGATATTACTGAAATCGGATAAGAATGTTGCTAGATTTTTGATGTTTGATTATCTCGAATAAAAGCTGCTGAACAGTTAACATTTTCGATTCTTCGTTTAAACACATCTATTCT